GGGGGGACTCACCTGGGCACAGCTGGGGGGGTGGGGACTCACCTGGGCACACCTTGGGGCACCTGGGCAGCTCCCAGGTGCATTTTTTAGGATATGTCAGGTGAGTTTTTGGGGCTCTCAGGTGGATTCCAGGTAAGTCCAGGTGTGTTCCAGGTGTGTCCCAGGTGAGTCCAGGTGTGTTTTTTTGGGAATTCCAGGCAGTTCCTGTGGAGTTTCCGGCTGCCGGGGGAGGCGCAGAAAATCGATCGGATGATGGAGGCGTTCGCTCAGCGCTACTGCCTGTGCAACCCCGGCGTGTTCACCTGCACAGGTAACCCTGACACACACCTGGGTACACCTGAGACACACCTGGGTACAGGTAACACACCTGGGTACACCTGAGACACACCTGGGTACACCTGAGACACACCTGGGTACAGGTAACACACCTGGGTACAGCCCTGACACACCCAGCACTACTGCCTGTGCAACCCTGGCGTGTTCACCTGCACAGGTAACCCTGACACACACCTGAGACACACCTGGGCACACCTGAGACACACCTGGGTACACCTGAGACACACCTGGGTACAGGTAACACACCTGGGCACACCTGAGACACACCTGGGTACAGCCCTGACACACCCAGCACTACTGCCTGTGCAACCCCGGCGTGTTCACCTGCACAGGTAACCCTGACACACACCTGGGCACACCTGAGACACACCTGGGTACAGGTAACACACCTGGGTACAGCCCTGACACACCCAGCACTGCTGCCTGTGCAACCCTGGCGTGTTCACCTGCACAGGTAACACACCTGGGTACACCTGAGATACACCTGAGCACAGGTGACACACCTGAGACACACCTGGGACACAGACCTGAGCTCACACAGACACACCTGGGTGGCACAGGGACACACGTGGCTGGGACAGGAGCTCACCTGGCTGGGACAGGAGCACACCTGAGCTCACCTGTCCCACCTGTGCAGACACTGACACACCTGTCTCACCTGTCCCACCTGTGCAGACACCTGTTACGTGCTCTCCTTTGCCGTGATCATGCTCAACACGAGCCTGCACAACCCCAACGTTCGGGACAAGCCGTCGGCCGAGCGCTTCGTGGCCATGAACCGCGGCATCAACGACGGCGGCGACCTGCCCGAGGAGCTGCTCAGGGTGGGTGTGGCCTCGGGGGGGCGTGCCCAGGTGTGCCCAGGTGTGGGGGGGGCAAAAATTTGGGAGGGTTCG